GGCGCGTACAAGTTGTAACCTGTTCAAACCTGCGTGATCTACATACATTAGCGAAGATTGTTAAATACGTATGTATGTAATATTCAAAGACATGTCGGATTACAGGGGGCACCGGATTAGACAGGGGCCGGATTATCGGGATCCACTGTATTCAGTTTTATGTCGTGTTGCTTTGAAAGTGAAAGCGTTATTTAGTTCATTCTATATGGGTGAATCTTGGTTTTCAAATATGAATTTAATTAAAAACAGATACCATAATTGACTTGATGAACATTTGGATAATTGTATTCGAATGGCGGTATCAAATTATACTCCAAACACTAAAAAAATTGTCAGTCTCGAATATCAGTTATATTAGAATCCTGAATTTTAAATGACTTAAGTGCTTTATAAAGAGCTGCAGAGCTTTTTTGACGAAACAGATGTTGAAGTTAACCGAATCTCTCTGCACGAGCAGCAGTTTCTGCGAAATTCCTCAAATCATTAATCAATCAATAATTTCGATATGTAAGTATTTGTTCGGGACCGTCTATATTTACGAAAAGCCTTATCTCGTTCCTTCATAATCATTTTCAAGTTCGTGAATTCTCTATTGAGTTTCTTTGGCCTCCCTATAATAAAACGAAGTGTAATATAGAGATATTAAGAATACCTCTAGAGAGATTCGACAAGCAGCGGTGCACAATTAGGTTTAAATGAGATTGGGTTATTTAGGAAATTGCACGACCGACTCCCACAGATTGAAAATGATCGACTCTGCTGTCGTGTCGTCTGTCAGTCGGTCGGTCGCTCGATATGAATTCTCTCCCTGGCTGTCTACCATCTCATTCCACTCATTATTTATAATTTTCTTGCTGCTCCTGTAGGATGCTCCCTGCAGTTGAAGTCTTATTAGAAATGTGATTGCAGCCAAAGCAAAAATAAAAGTGGTGGGCGAACTCCTACGCTGGTGGAATGAAAGGGCTTGTGATTTAGTGATAAAGGAGTAGAAAAATACTGATTATGTACAAGTATTGTGAATGCCCGTCGCCGCTTCTTACAGTATTTTAAATTCAAGAGGACCAATTTTCAATAGCTTTACTGAACAGATGTATTAACTTCGGAGGCGCCAGTGGATTGTAGCTTTTTGGCAAGATCTTTGACTTTTAGGTGGCAAGACATACAAAAAAGTTGCTGGTCATGGATTGTGACAATCGACAGGGATTTGATTAAGCAAATGAGCAATTCTGAAATAGCTAATATAAATCAAAAAACAATTTTTTTTATTATCTAGAATGCAGATATATGAAACTCTGCGAATCAGTTCGTCAAGTAATACGATCTTTATTAAGCATACAGCTAGGGAGGCACCTTAATTGTCGTTTCACAACGCTAGTTTAAAAAAAGGTGAATGAACATGTGTTTTATTATTACTAGTAACTTTATATACACATTCATCATTTTTTCAATTTGCTTACTAAAAACGTTGAAATTCGAGACGTACCCATGCCATTACTTCATCTAGAGCTAACCGTTAGCGTTGACCATAAAAACAGCCGTATCTTATTTCTCTCGTATTCTTTCCGTTATTCTTTGGGAGCATCATGTTACAGGAGCGAAAAGACTATCCTCATAAAGCCAATAAATCATGGCGTTAAACCTAAGTGTAATTTCATCCTGTGCAACGCTACCGACAAAATTTATTGGAATTTATAAGCAAGATAAATATTATGATCTTCTTACCAGCTAGCTTGTTCTCACTCGAAGAAATTGTACTGACACTTTGTTAACATACAGAATGTTCCAGAATATGTGGTACGTCTGTAGAATGAAAAAATGACGTACAAGTTTCATTAGGGGGTCTAAAGGACAACGCTGGGGGACAGTTTTTCTCAACTAACTTCTAAATGGCACAGTAGTTTAAGAAAGCTGGCAGAATAATAACCAGTTGTGGTCTTACATGATGATGTCCTTAGAAAACAAGTAACTTGTTTAATTCATCAGCTATGGATTAGCGGCATCGTAATATTGTTATGCTAATGGCTGAAAACAGTATTTTCTTAAAACCCCATATTTAATGAAAAAAAATGTAGAGAAATGTGCCCAAAAGCGGGCCCCCATTTTTTATCGATTTAAAAAATATTAATAGTAGCTAGAATTGTAGTTTAGGAGAGCGTGACATTTACTTGCACCTCCACTACAGCGTGATAGATATCTAAGCAACTATTTGCACTGGAAATAATGGAGTTTTAGAGAATACGGAGCCAAAACTAGGAGTGAACTTCAGGAGAGAAGGCCAGCTCACTTTCTCCTTTCCTACTATCCTCTACAATTATTTGACATTGATCAAGTGAGACATTTTTTGGAAGAAAATAGTATAGTAGACTTTTATTAATTATGATACTGGATACAAAATATCTGTATCACTAATTAAAAATTTGTAATAAGTAATTTCGACAGTACATTCGTAACCATCCTGAAAATTACCAGGATATAAATTTTCAGGTCACATAATAAACATAAACACTTTTTAGTCATTTCTTTGAATTATACAGTGTTGTTTAAAGCTTATTTGAGAAAAGCCTGATTCCAGGGCTTCCTTTAGCGGACTGTATTTCCATAGTGGAGCTCCCCAATGTTCCACTTCCCACGTCGATTGACGAGGACGTATTGAAAATTTAAAAAACGAGGTTGTCTTTTGGATGATACATGACATCTACGTCACGAAGAACCGTGTCACTAGTTGCCGTCCGTCTCTCTATAATTCTGAAACCACCGTTCGGACCGACATTTTGACAAACATCTTAGTGCTAGAAGCGATACATATTTATACTTCTAGAAAATCAATGCAGTGGCAAAGGAGCTAGGGACAAAAAGTAAAAAGTGAAAAAGGTAAGATCGCCCAAACTTTCGCTTTTTGCATTTCAGAGACTCATATTAATAATCAGAAAAAACTTTTAAGGGATTTAAAATCACGACATTGGAGGTTGTGGGGGATGGGGGTTGTGTGAATCTTTTCGTACCAGCGGAAGATGTTTTAATCAGAGGGGTAGTTGTCATCGCCTTTCAACAGAAGTATAAAACGCGATCTACGTCTTTCAGAGGGTAAGAGTACACCGCTTCGCATTGCCCCGCCGCATTGGTACAGATTTGGCCGTCTGACCATAAAATCATCTAGGTCAAAAATAACCCACTCTTATCGTACGCAAAATAATATACATTAAATAATTGTGTACCCAAAAAATATAAACGGAAAATAAATATGAACAAAACAAAATGTATGAGTATTTCTAAAGACCTATAAAACATAGAAATCCAATTAGAACAACAAATAATGTAACGAATAACATAGTTTAATAATTTAGGAATAATGGTACCAGAGGATGGAGAAGTAGAGGCAGAAATAGAAGATAGAAGAATAAAAGCAACTACAAGATTACACTTCCAACTAAATAAACACCTATTTAACAAAAAAGTAATATCTAAAAAAACAATAATAAGGATGTTCAACTCACTGAATATCCCAACCCTAATATATGGTTCAGAACTCTGGATATTGAGTAAAAGACAGAAATAGAAAACAAGCAAGTGAAATGAAACTGCTAAGAAGAATTGCGAGTCTGAAAAATATGGACAAAGTCAGAAATGTAGAAAGAAGAAGATAAGGTGTCATATCTAGAAAAAAAATACAAGTGAATGCGCTAAGGTGGTTTGGACATGATTAGAATGCCAAATACAAGATTGGCGAAAAGGGTCTGTAGAATGGGAAAATTCAAGAAAAAGACGACAGGAAGACCAAGAAGCAAGTGGAATGACTAAAGAGTTGTACTTGAGGCAAATGCATTTGGACTGGAAAGCAGCAAAAAGACTAGCTAAAAACAGAACAAAATGGAGAAAGATAATAAGAGAGTAAGTGTAGAAAAACATCAACCTCTACACTGGCTAGATCCGATAGAAGAGGAACGGACTAAGTAAATAATTTTACGTTTTGTTTGGGTAAGCAACACTCAGCAGACATGTCAAATATACATCCTTGTTGGAACTTACTGGTGGTCAATAGATGTGACCCTCCAAAACGTATGTCCTTGTTCTTTTGTGTTATAAATGTAAATAAGAAATAGGTTCACAGTTGGGTGCAAGTTGGAAAAGGAAAACCGAATAAAATTTAGGATACCCTGAAACTTATCGTGTGGTCTTACTGAATATATTTTCAATTGTAATGGAAAGAGCCACCGTTGTGGCCGAAACGTCGTCAGTGGAAAGAAATATTTGCGGATTCCTATTAAATTATTTTTCAAATTAATTGAAGTTTTCGGGAGCTAGGTCTAGGGGGTGGAAGCAATAAATTCGAATAGATTAGAAGGAGCCAAGCCTATATGTTTACATTGCTTCGCAGTTTTAGTGCATATTTTTAACTCATTTGTCTATCAATGCCTACTAAAGCGACAGCGTAGTATCAACATGATATTAATACTTATCGGTTGGAAAATCAAAATCGTCTAAGACCACGATTATGTGCAGTTTTGAAAAATAACACTACGAATTTAATGACCGTACTGCTAAAAAATGGTCTTATGTCAAGTGCACTTTGATCTCCATTACAGACTATCAGAATAAGGAGACCAACAAATCCTTGATTGGCTCGTTCTACCTAGTCTGAATTCGTTAGGTGAAAATCTGCAGAAGATATAAGATGTGTATTGTGAATCTATTTGGTATAATAGACGACAGAATTCCGTGGGAAGTACGGAGTCAATCTATTAGACACAATTTTTACATTTGATAATTTCTTTTGGTCTACTCTATCAGTATGACATATCAATTTACTTGCAGGGTTTTGGTAAATTATATTGTAAGGTTCAAAGTAAAAACATTTCTTCCAGTGACAAATATGATCCATTCGGAGGCATGTACGACCAAACTGCAGGAGGTCCGTTGGGTGAAGAGATACCGGAGAATCTCAAGGACTACCAGCGACCTCCTCTACGACCTATCGACCAGTACCTCAAACCAGAGCTACCGTATATTTCGAAGAGAGCCACCGTAGCCTTTCTCAGCTGCTTGGGTTTTATCATCATGTTTGGCATGAGGACTAGTATGGGGATCATCAAAGTTAAAATGGTGAGAAGATAGTTGTATGTGGCCAAGATTGCTCATAAAATAATAAAAAAAAAACACTGTTTTAGTTTAAAAAAACTGTCACAACTTCAAGCTTTGTCTTTTGACTTGCATAATTTGATAAGGGAAGATATTTGTGTATACACAGATAGCTCCAAGACCGAGGTAGGTGTTGGAGCTGGTATGTTTGTTTAGAAGATAAAGATTAAAGCCTATGAACCTAGGATCGATCTTCCAGACAGAGCAATATGCTAAAGAACTGGGTACCAGAATGACAACTGAGTCACGGAACTATAATTATTTTTTCAGATAGTCAATCCGCACTTAAAAAACTTGACTCCACCTATTCGACAATGAAATTAGTGTGGAATTGCAAAGAAGCTCTCGGTGGGATAGGGGATCGAAATGAAGTCCGTCTCATATGGATATCAGGACACACAGGTCTAGAGGGAAACGATACTGCTGACACTCTGGCAAAGAGTGAGGCTAGCACACCCTTCATAGGGCCTGCGTCAGCGATTAGAGTCGCATACAATACGACTAAAGAAATAATCTCTGCAGAGATGGACAGAAACATCCATCAACACGGGGAGGGACTAACAGGGTTAACCCATGCAAATATACCAATCTTGACAAACAAGGTAACAGACTCTCTGCTACGGCTGAACAGGAATAGCCTCAAAGCTCTATTAGGACTGTTCAAAGGTTATTGCAAATTGCGTCACCACATGAGCAGGCTCGGCATGGCGGAAGACGCTGAGTGCAGACTGTGCATGGAGGGAGATGAAACGGTCAGACACGTATTGTGCAGATGCCCTGCAATTGCCAGAATCAGATACAACATACTTGGAGACGTAGTACTCCAAGCAGAAGACCTGAAGGATATTTCTGCAAACAAGTTAATCGACTTCCTCAGGAGTTCGGAGCTACTGGGAGAAATATAAATAGGTGTGAGCCACAATAGACCAAAAACTTAAATTAACCTGCATAATTTGAAAAATGAAAACACTACACTAAAGTATCTATAGTTCAGAAATATTGAAAACAGGAATATACACGTCATATATATTACTTCTTTCTGATTGTGGCATTGTATATGAGCTTCCTTACAGGTTTTTCCTATATATCCAAATAGTAGTTCCGCTACAAATTCTCAAAAAATATTTTCTATGTTATTATATTTATTATTATTTTGAAGAAATTAGTAAAGTTGTTAGTACTACTAGTCGGTTCCTGGTTATCTAAATGAGTTAATTGTTGTCTATATACAGGGTGTTTCAGTTTATTGTTGCATAACTTTAAGATTCGATAGAACTTTTAAAATTAATGCATAAAGTCTATATAAACATGGGTCGAAAAATGCGTGGCTTCCGAAATACAGGGTGTTTAAATTTACTTTCTAAAATAGTTTTTTTTAAATATTTCGAACAATATTTGATATATAATAGTGAACATTGGTATACAAGGGTTTTTTTTGTACGACAAAACGAACCATGGGCATAGTTTTACTGTAGCCGCTAGAGGGCGCTCTCTACTGTACCTGTAGTGTATTAAAATTTTTTCATAGTGCATTTTTTTGCTTTTCTGATTCTTTGCACTTTTCAACATAAAAAACCTCTCTTGTGAATTTTCGTTATAGTTAGCCGTTTTTGAGATATTTCGATTTTTAAGGTTCGATGCATTTTTAATTATTTATGATAAAATAACGTTAAAAAGTCAGTATCTTGATAATTTTTAGAAGTAGGCTGTGCCTGCAAATATTTGTGAAATTGAAAGCAGAATAAGGTTAAACGTCAATTAGTTGACAGTTAGTTTTGTTGTCTGTTGAAACCTGAAACGTTTTTTTGCAATTGTGAATGCACGAAATTTAGTCTCTTTTATCTGTTTTTTTTTGTAAGTTTTATAAAAATGCCATTTTTATTCTCCAATCAAGAGTTAGCGGATATTCATTTTGTGTATGGCTTTGTAAATGGAAACGCAGCAGAAGCAGCCAGAGAATACGCACGAAGATTTCCAAACAGACGACATCCAACTCGCTCAGTATTTGTAAGAGTGCATCGCCAAATAATTGAAAATGGTTTTGGAAATCTCCAAAGGGATCAAAACATAAATGTTCGTCAGCGCAGATTTACCCGTATGATTCTGCATGAGTTTGATAGAGATCCGACCACAAGTGTTAGGACAGTTTCTGGTGCCTTGGGAATTTCAGCAAGCCATGTTCACCGTGTTCTTAGAAATGACCATAGACGTCCTTACCATTTGCAACCTGTGCAAGGACTACAGCCAGGGGACGGAGAACGAAGAATCACATTTTGTCAGTGGATTCTTGATAGAACTGATAATAATAGGGAGTTTTTAAGTAACGTTTCATGGACCGATGAGTCATGCTTCACTAGACGTGAAGTGGTAAATTTTCATAATCAACATATTTGGTCGCATGAAAATCCGCATGCAGTTCGGGAAAGAAATTTTCAGCATGAATTTAGTGTGAACGTGTGGATTGGTATCTACCGTAATCGACTATTTGGACCCTACCTTTTGCCTGCAAGGCTAAATGCTGCGACCTTCTTGGAATTTTTAAAGGCTGAACATGCAAATATGTGGGATGATGTCTGTTAGATTTAAGAAGATTGGCCTGGTTCCAGCTTGATGGTTATCCAGCTCATTATTCGAGAATAGTTCGAAACTGGCTGGACGAAAATTATCCAGAAAGATGGATCGGCCGTGGACGACCAGTCGCCTGGCCTCCACGATCCCCTGACCTAAATCCATTAGATTTCTTTGTGTGGGGATTTCTAAAAGAAAAAGTGTACCAGACTCCCGTAACCACAAGAGATATGCTAATAGACACAATCAAGGATGCGTGTGATGAAATAAGGCCTTATTTGAATAATGCTATACCACGTTCGATCATTCGTAGATGTGAATTGTGTATTGAACAATTGGGTTTACATTTCGAGCAACTGCTTTAGATTTTGTATGTTTGTAAATAATTAGTTTAATTTGTTAAAAATAATATTGGAAAATTAAACAAATTAATATTCTGTTTTTTTGTGTTTATTTGGTGTTAGGAATTATTACTGTGTTTAAAAACACAATCTAAACGATCATCTTAATTACTTGTAATGTCCAAATCGAAAATGTAAAAAAATATTATTTTCCATAAATAATTAAAAATGCATCGAACCTTAAAAATCGAAATATCTCAAAAACGGCTAACTATAACGAAAACTCACAGGAGACCTTTTTTATGCAGAAAAGTGCGAAGAATCAGTTTTTTTATTCAAAACGCAAAATATTGCACTAAGAAAAATTTTTCGGTCATTTTAATACACTACAGGTACAGTAGAGAGCGCCCTCTAGCGGCTACAGTAAAACTATGCCCATGGTTCGTTTTGTCGTACCAAAAAACCCTTGTATACCAATTTTCACTGTTATACATCAAATATTGTTCGAAATATTTAAAAAAAAAACTATTTTAAAAAGTAAATTTAAACACCCTGTATTTCGGAAGCCACGCATTTTTCGATCCATGTTTATATAGACTTTATGCAGTAATTTTAAAAGTTCTATCGAATCTTAAAGTTATGCAAAAATAAACTGAAACACCCTGTATATATAGTGCTGGCGAAAGTCCCTTTCCCTTTTAGATTTCTATGTGTACGAGGAAGAGAGAGAGGCGAACAAGCGGGCACCACTTGTGTAGAAAGAGTGCGCCACACACCACGTTGCCTGGCACAACAGTGATGAAGGCCACAGAACACAACTGTAACTTGCTGCAACGCCTTGTTTTCTACGCTCATGTACTCATTTCTATCGAATCTGTTTCTGATCAATTCCAGATCGGTCCTAATGGTTCTCCGATTTTAGGTGGAACTGAAAGTTCAGGATAGATACAAATTCTGCAACATAGCATTATTGGTTTGACTGTGGAATCAGTTTATAAATAATGAAAAAATATATAATATTTATTTATATAAGTATACAAAGATACAGTTTTAAATGAATTAAGAATAACAAAAGAACCCTAGTTCATCGATTTCTTTGTTCTTGGAGTGTCCAACCATATTTTTTTTTAAGTTGTCGGTTCACAGTCACCACCTTTCTGACGTTTGCGAATAAACTTATCCTCACTTATACTATTCTATACATTGTCTTCATCAGTGTATACATTGTATTCATTGTATACGCAATGGATACACTGTATTCATTGTATACGCATTGTATACGTCGAGACGTAGACAATTAATGTATACGCCTAAACGCCCATCACTGTTGAGAAGTTATTTGACAGTAGCCTACACGCAGTTGCGTTCTTCACGGGCTTGCACCTCCGGATTTTGTTTTAAAAGCTTTCAGATTCTCAGTTGTGACACCACTGCTTCAAATACCCATTAACAGTGCCTTAATAGTAACTTAATAAAGAACTGCTTATTTTTACTTGCCGCCATCACCTATACGGATTGGAGTTAAAAGGCGTGTTTGAATCAATGATCGACCAAGTGACTACAAGCTCTGACATTCCAATGTTTGAAATGTTCCGCTTGTCTCAATTCGAACAAAAATTTGTTTGCCCTCTTGTGCTGGGACACCCTTTTAGTTTTGCACAATGTTTTCTTTATTTAATTGGAAGATGTTCCAATTATTGACGTATGCCTCATTTTCGTAGAGCAATACAACGTGGGACCGGGAAACATTGGCCTCGATGGACGCGGCTATCTTCTATGGTTATTTTGTCACCCAAATCCCAGGTGGTTTGATAGCAGCTATCTACCCAGCCAATAAACTATTTGGGGCCGCGATTGGTTTTTCCTGCTTCCTCAACTTATTTTTGCCTTCCTTTCAACATAAACCACATGCCTTCATATTCGTCAAGGTCATACAGGGCCTTGTAGAGGTAAGAATTTACATCGTTGGATCAAGATTATTCTTTCTAGAATATACAGGGAGGCGCATCGAAAACGAAACAGACGCATTTACTGGCAGCTCAGTATTTTTTTGGGAGAACGCTCAGACCCGTCGATTTTGTTTCCGAGGGGGACACAAGTTTGGCAAAAAATCTTGTTAACACGTGCAGCCCCCTGGGCGGGGTGACACCAACCCTAAAATCTCAAATGGAAAGTGGGGTCGAGTGATACCTTATTTTAAAGGTCTTTCAATTCCCTTTATAATGATGTAAAATACATGAGCTTCAGTTCAGTAGTTTTGAAGATTCATTGATTTAAAGCTTAAAGTAGACTTTAATAGGTACATCAGTTTAGTTTGTACTACTTTCAGAACATATTTGATTAAAAGAATTTACTTAATAAGTAAATACTTTTCTTCACTACGCCCATGGTTTGTTTATCATTTTGTTGTTGAAAATAGCTATTGGAACGTTTTTTTGTAGCAAAAAAGTTATTTCTTGAACCAAACTTTGTTGCTAAAATAACTTGTAACGCTTTATTTCATAAATTAACCATGGTATATTCCACAGCAGAAAGAGTTGAAATTATCGAAAATTTTTTTGGAAATAATCAGTGCGCTAATAGAACAGCAGAAATATTTAATGAGCGACATGAGAACAGTAACGTGCATCGAAAATATGTTCTAGAACTTGTAGCTAAATTTCGGGAAACTGGGTCAGTCGCCAATAAAAAACGCAACATTGAAAATCCCATAAGGAACGAAGCAATAGAAGTGGGGATTTTAGGGCAAGTTTAAGTAGATCCTACGTTAAGTACCCGAAAATTGGAGACTGTGTGTGGTGTTAGTCGACGTACTGTCCAACGGATTCTAAAGGCCCATAGTTTTCATCCTTATAAAATTCACCTGGTACAAGAACCTAATGAAGACAATTTTGATAGGCGATTACAATTTTGTGAAGATATGAGTGAACGAATTACAAACGATGAACATTTTCTATTCAACACTTGCTTTTCCGACGAATGTTCATTTTTCTTAAATGGCGTAGTAAATTGTTATAACTGCCGATATTGGTTCGATTCTAATCCCAGAATTTATCATGAGGTTGATACACAGCAGCCACAAAAATTAAATGTTTGGGCTGGTATTTTTGGCGATCATTTAGTTGGTCCTTTTTTCTTACCTGGAAATTTGACCGGTGAAATGTATTTGGAATCACTGGAAGACGCCATAGATCCTGCATTAACTGCCTTAATTGAAAATCAGAATGATCGGCTGTACATTGCGAATAGGTTGATGTTCCAACAGGATGATGCCCCACCACATTACGCATTACGTGTTCGACAATATTTAGATCAGACGTTTCCAGATCGAGGGATTGGTAGAAGATGTGCCATTGAATGGGCCCCAAGATCGCCAGATTTATCGCCTTTGGATTTCTTTATGTGGTGTCATTTAAAAAGCAAAATCTATGCTACTCAGCCAACCTCATTAGAAGACCTGCGACAAAGAATTGTGAATGAGTGCCTTCAAATTACTCCTCAAATATTGCAAAATGTGCGGCAACGTTTTGAGCAAAATCTTTATTATTGCATGGAGAGTCATGGTGGCCATTTTCAACATTTACTTGCCTGACGGGTCAGTTCATTCTTCATTTGTATTGATATCCACTAATGATGATGTATTAGTTTTATTTAAGCTTTAAATCAATAAATCTTTAAAACTACTGAACTGAAGTACATTAACTTTATATCATAATAAAGGGAATTGAAAGACCTTTAAAATAAGGTATCACTCGACGCCCCTTTCCATTTAAGATTTTGGGGGTGGTGTCACCCCCGCTTAGGGGGCTGCACATGCTAACGTGATTTTTTACCAAACTTGTGTCCGCCTCGAAAAAAAAAATCGACGGGTCTGAGCGTTTGTCAAAAAAAAACTGAGCTGCCAGTAAATGCGTCTGTTTCGTTTTCGATGCGCCACCCTGTATACGTATACTACAAGGCTACCAACATATAACTGACTGGTTTACCTTTTCCACATCATTAAAATGAAATGTAACATATTTAATTATTATATCTTATTATTTTACTGAATTTTAGAAGTCATTTATGAAAAATATCACATACTGCTCGCCTCTGGAAGCCACATAAATTTAAGACTTCTGGATAGAATTTTCTATCGCTTTTTGGTAAGGTTTGGGAATAATATTTTGTGTAGTTTTCTGAGTGTTGATCTCCAGCCGCTCTATAGTACTTGGATTTGTTGACATAAACCTTACTTTTTAGATATCATCACGTAATGTAGTCTGAGGCTGTTAAATAGGGTGGTTTTGGGGGAAAGATGACGTTGTGTGCTATTTTGTTGAAAACGAAACATCATCGCTATCCAATGCAAAACACTTCGACAACTTGACCTGTGGAAAATGTAGAGCAAGAGGACGGAGTAACATACCCATCACAACGATTTTTGCGAAACAGGTTTTTAGCGCACTTGAACTTCCCATTAAGCGGTGTTATCTGACTCCCAAGATCGCCAGATTTAATGACCTTGACTATTTTCTGTGATAATTTAAAAAAATAAGCTTTTAAAAACGAAAAAGAACTAAGGAGCATTCGGGAAGGTTTTCAGGATATTCTTCCAAAAACTTACAAAAAAGTGATGGAAACCCTAATCGAGAAGAGTAAGGGTTTGAACGACTTGCATAGGTAGGCATTTATATGATATCCGTCTTCTTCTCTGTTGCTTAGAATAAACAAATTGCATTTATTGCATTTCGTTTAAAAGATACTTAAGAAATAAATCAGCTAGTTACATATTAGAAAAGGGTTTTCCATTAAGGACTTGACAACTTTCTTTTTAAATAAAACGCAAACCATTTGGGATGTCTCGAAAATTTTATTACTGGATTGAAGTATATCCAGAACATTCATGTATGGAATTAGATCTCGTACATGTGTCCACCCTGGGCACGTTCGCTGCGATCGATTCGTTGAACCCAATTTTCAATGACTTGGCCACACATTTAGAAAGAAACGGCCGCTATCTTTCGTTCAATATTGGCTCTGAGCTCCTCTAACGACACCGACTTTTTGGCATAGACCAATGATTTATTGTAGCCCCACAACGAAAGGTGTAGAGGTGTTAAATCACACGATCTAGGCAGCCATTCGACAGGACCATTTCTCAATATAACACGTTCATCGAATTTTGATTTCAATATGTCGATTGTTTCACCCGCTGTGTGGCTTGTTTAAGCCACATATCATTAATGTCTAGCCCATCTAGTTGACCAAAAAAAAAATAATGTTGCAACACGTCTCTGTAGCGATTTACGTTGACTGTAACGGGACGGTCATTTTCATCAACGAAAAAAAAAACGGCCCAATGACACCCTACCGGCATGAAAACCACATGAGGGTTTTCATCTGATCAATAACGCGTATTCTGTTTGTTGACGAAGTCGTTTAGTCAAAAATGCGCCTGATCACTGAAGATGATTTTACGATGAAATTGGTCATTTTCTTGCAACATTTCTAGAGCCCAATTCGAGAACATACGTCGGTTCATATGATCGAACGGATTTAGTTCCTGAGCTTGATCCTTGATCTTCTAAGGGTGCAGGCCAAGATCCCTTCGCAAAATTTGCCATAGTGTGGTCTGAGCGATGCCCAATTCTTGAAAACGCCCTGGAATCGACGAGTTCTGTTCGCTTGCGATGGAAGCTTGAACTGCAGCAATATTCTCAGCACTTCGACCAACCCGTTGTCTCACTGGCATGGGAAAATCCAGCAGCGAGTATGTGGACTCACATTTTTTTACTAGACTATGAATTCCTTGTCTACTGGGACTAGAATTACAAACAAAAATTGGCGTGAACGCTCTTAAAGTTTCAGTCACCGACTCGGAATTTCGGTAATAAATTTTAATTATTTGTAAGCGTTGTTCGTTCGTGTACTTCACCATGAGGAAAATGTTTTTTTTTACTGAATATTTTGACATTGACAATTTAGCAATTGATTTTAAGGTGCGGTCACAGTGAAAGTTCAAAGTTGTCAAGTCCCTATTGGAAAAACCGATATTTGCAAAAATCCATTGAACGTTGATGGAATACGAAAATTTTGAGATTATATATTCTTGCACTAAGATTTTTATCTTTTTCTTATGGTCTGCGAAACGCAGTTCCTTGGCATGAAAGTGCTACTCTCTTAAATGCCAATCATCATTTTCTTGAATCAGGGAAAACATGTTTTCTGATCTCCTGAATCAATATAACTACCCTTGGTCCAAAACCAATCTTTGTATTGTGTGCTTGCTTGTAACGTAAACATTATTTTTTGTCTCAACAGGGTGTCACTTATCCAGCTTGCCATGGTATTATGAGACACTGGGCGCCTCCGCTAGAAAGATCAAGGCTTGCTACATTAGCATTTACTGGAAGCTATGCCGGAGTCATGTTTGCCATGCCTATAACTGGTGAACTGGTGGAGCACTGGGGAATCGTAGCACCTTTTTATTTTTATGGTGCAATAGGAATACTATGGTGAGTAAAAGCGTATTTTGCTCATAATCAACTTGTTTGTGGGTGGTATGTTCTAGGTGGTAGACGGTTTCAGGCAGGCGGTTCTATGCCCTACTGAGCGAGGGCCGTGGCAAATGCTTGTTCCGGAAGTTGTTGTATCCAGTATACAACTTCTTCCCGTCCAAGTGATTGTGCACGCGTTAAGGAATACCTCAGTACCGATTGCCGGGTGGCGGTACAAGTCCGCCAACGGGCCACTTTAGGTCTATTTAACATCACTAACATGTAAAAAGAAGGTGGTAGGCAAGGACCAGTCGACCGAGGCAGTACCACCCGCTAGCTTTTCCCAGGGTGTCTTATAAATGTCCGCATGTTTCCACACCTAAGCTATGCAGTCGGTTATCTACCAAAACAAAGAAATTAATGATGATGGATCCCTCGAGCACTAAAAACTCCGGACGTAAACTCACTCCACTCTCGGAATGTCCGGGTGGAGGGTGGGCTCGAGGGAACAACATCGAAGATAAAATTTGCGGGATCAACAGCAACATTGATGCTGTTCATCACTACCTGCAATCCAATCGTCCCGCCGTGCTCTTCTTGGCGGAGACAAAAATCTCAGAGACTGCACCGATTAACCATCTCAACTTCCCAAACTACGAGGTGCACTCCAATCTGAGAAAGAACGGGGGAGTTGTGGCTTTTGTCCGCAGCAGTCTTTCCTGCTCCAGGGATCTTTCTTTGGAATCAGACCGGAAGGACATTCTGTGGCTTCGCCTCAACTCCAAAACATCACCCAAATTTATTTGCTGCCTTTATCGCTCTCCCTCGAACCATAACTGGGATGACCTACTCGAATACCTCGCCGTCCAGATCGACTTCCTGAACATCAATCACCCCGCTTCAGAGGTAGTTCTTCTCGGTGATTTCAATGCCCATAATGAGCTTTGGTTGGGCTCAAATAAGACCGATGCAGCAGGTCGTGCAGTCGAAGCGTTCGCTCTTACTCAAGGGCTGACCCAGCTGGTCACGAGCCCTACTTTTTTCCCCCGCGTCTCGTCACACGCCAGTAGCCTGCTGGATCTCTTTCTGACCACGCATCCTGCCCCTTACAGCACTGCTGTCCTGTCCCCCCTGGGTAACTCAGATCACGGTGTTGTGGAGGTTAGGTTTCGGTCAGAAGCCGCTGTGGCAGCAGAAACTCGCACAGGCCGCAAAACTTGGCATTACGGACATGCCGACTGGGAGGGGCTCAGAGACTTCTTCTCTAGCTTTCCTTGGAGAGATGTCTGTTTCACTGACGCGGATGCGTCGACTGTCTGTTCTTCAATAACCGAAATTATCCACGTCGGAATGGAGGAATACATCCCTCACACAGTGAAAGTTCCTAAACCAGGGTCCAACGGCTGATTCAACAAATCGTGTGACACTGCACGCCAGCAGAAGATCAAGGCCCACAGAACCTACTTACAAAACCCCACTGTAGAGAACAGACAAGCCGACGTCGAGTCCAGAAACAAATATAACGAAGCGGTTCGCAATGCCAAAAACCAGCATGATATAAAAGTTAGGCACAGGGTAATGTCGCAGCGCAATGGCAGTCGGTCTTTCTGGACGCTGGCCAAGCAGATTGAAAAGAACTTCTCACACAGTAGCCTTCCACCACTTACGTGTCAGGATGGAACTATTGTATTCGACTCGAAGGCCAAGGCGGAAGTGCTAGCCAAGATCTTTGCTGCCAACTCCACCATGGACGTCCCCACCAACGCCCAAGTGCCGTCAATTCAAAGGGTTCCCCACACTATGCGGGAGGTAACATTCAGGCATAAGACCGTAAGACGAGTGCTCTTGCCGCTCAACATCAACAAAGCTTCTGGTCCGGACTTGATTCCTGCCATTGTACTGAAGAGATGTGCAGCGGAGCTTGCTCCAGTTCTTTCGCGTCTCTTCCAGATATCTTATGAATCCGGCACCTTCCCAGAAAACTGGAAATTTGCTCATGTACAGCCCATCCCAAAAAAAGGATCTAAAACCGACCCTTACAACTACAGGCCTATAGCTCTGCTTTCTGTCATAAGTAAAGTGATGGAGAGGTGCATAAATCGCGAGCTTCTGGACTACCTCGAACGTCACAGCTTGATTAGCGACAGGCAGTACGGTTTCCGGCACCAACGATCCACAGGGGACCTCCTAGCTTACGTCACGCAACTGTGGAGTAAACTCATCCAGTCTCATGGTGAGGCTCATGTCGTTGCTCTTGACATCACGAAAGCGTTCGATCAGCTGTGGCACGCTGCCCTCTTAAGCAAACTTCCATCCTGTGGCCTCCCAGAAAAGCTTTGCAGATGGGTGGCTGACTTTATCTCTGGCCGCAAGATATCCGTCGTAATTCACGGATTCTCCTCTTCATCCCACAACGTCAACGCGGGTGTTCCCCAGGGATCGGTCTTGGCTCCAACACTGTTTCTCTTACATATCAACGACTTCCTTTCCTGCACGATCAACCGAATCCACAGCTTCGCTGATGACAGCACTCTAGATGCAGGAATTCAGAGTGACAAGCCGATCTCTGCCGCTGAGCTGGAAAAAAGAAGACTAGCGACGACTTCTTCTCTGACAAGAGACCTGGAGGCTATCACTGCTTGGGGACGCAACAATCTTGTACAGTTCAATGCTTCCAAAACACAGTATTGTACTTTGACGAACAAAAAGCGTCCTAGCGCTCATACAGTTTCGATGGACGGTCGAGTTCTACCAAAGAGCCATTCATTTCGGCTGGTCGGAGTCCAGATCACCGAGGACCTGATCTGGCACGAACACATCTCTTCAATAGCTGCAGCTGCTGGGAAAAAGCTAGGCTATTTGTTTAGGGCTAAGAAGTACTTTTCTCCGCATGACATTCTCACTCTTTACAAGGCCCAGATAAGGCCTAGCCTCGAGTATTGCTCACACATTTGGGGTGCTGCCGCCCCGACTACATTGTCCATGCTCGATGCTGTCCAGAGGAGGGCGGTCCGACTGATCGATGACTCTTCTCTAACAGACAGTCTCGGGACTCTTTCGCACCGGCGGGTCGTCGGCGATCTAGCTCTTTTCTATCGCTACACCAACGGGCTTTGCTCCTCAGAGCTCTCTTCCATGATGCCGCCGCGCGATGTGCCTGCCAGACAGACCCGCCTGACTTCGGCGTCCCATCCTAACCGTGTCAAACTTCGTACATCCAGAACTGGCCGATACGACCGCTCCTTTGTCCCGAGGGTGTCTAGATTGTGGAACAATCTACGGGAGGAAGCTTTTCCCAGTTCTACTAACCTTAGGCAGTTCAAAAATCGTATCAACAAAATTTCTTCGGGCTCATCATAGCAGCCGCGGTGTTCCGGCATTTAGGCTTCTGCCTGCGCGGCTGTTTCGATATATATATAAAAAAAAAAAGTCGAGCGTCGACGTACCACACGGAAAATCTCTAAGGCAGGGCCATAGTGTGTGCATCTCATTGTACAAGTGTCACCCCCCTTTCTTCTGTATCACTCTATAGCCCCATGATGCCCACGGGTATTTAACCTTTAGGTCGGCGGAGTGGACTCAAATACATACAAAATACACTCATTTAACTTCTGGTTATTCTTCTCAAAGTTTTCAAAATAAAGTTTAGGCTTATGAAACAGAGCGCATAAATCTAATCAAAAATGGCAAAAAGAGTTAACGGTGGAAATCTCGGATTCAAATTGCACAATTATGTAAGATACCCCGCCACATTGGTCGGAATTCCGACTTCGGCATAGACAGAAGAAGTTGTCTAATTTCCCTGGCTTATTCCGAATCGGAATAGCCTAAGCGAAGTAGACATTCTCTAAGAACATAGGTAGCGTTTTTTTACACAAAAGTGAGTCAACATAATCCCTCCCCCCTAATCCGAATTGGAACAGCCTGAGTAGAGTAGACTTTCTCTAGGAACGCTCGACTAAAAAAATATTTTCAGCAGAAGTAGTCTAATTTCCCTGGCTTATTCCGAATCGGAATAGCCCGAGCAGAGTACGCTTTCTCTAAAAACATAGCTAGCGTTTTTTTTTCACACAAAAGTGAGTCAACCTAATCCCTCCCCCCTAATCCGAATTGGAATAGCCTGAGTAGAGTAGACTTTCTCTAAAAACATAGCTAGAATTTTTTTCCACAAAAGTGATTCAACCTAAAGGAATACTTTTTAGGTATCTCGCTTGGTTGTGGCCTCCACATTGGTCGGAATTCCGATTTCGGAATAGACAAGTAATACTAGACTTAAAAAGTTTTTTCATGAGAAATGATATAATTTCCGAATGAGAACAGCCAGGGGCAATAAATTTTTCTGAAATTAAGCATTGAGTTTTTTAGACTTTCTCTAAGAATGCCGCTAGCGTTTTTGCACACAAAAGTGATTCAACCTTAAGGAATATTTTTTAGGTATCTCGCGTAGTTGTGGCCACCACATTGGTCGTAATTCCGATTTCGGAATAGACAAGAAATGGTGGACTGAAAAAATCTTTTCAGCAGAAATAGTCTGATTTCCTGGCTTATTCCGAATCGGAGTAGCCCAAGCATAGTAGACTTTCTCTAATAACACAGCTAGCATTTTTTCACACAAAAGTGATTCAACCTTAAGGAATATGTTTTAGGTATCTCGCGTAGTTGTGGCCACTAAAAGTAGTCTGATTTCCTGGCTGATTCCGAATCATTATAGACCAAGCATAATAGACTTTCTCTAAGAATGCAGCTGGCGTTTTTTTTACACAAAAGTGATTCACCCCAACGAAGTATTTTTTCAGGTATCTCGCTTGGTTGTTGCCTCCACATTGGTCGGAATTTCGATCTCGGAATAGACAAGAAACGCTAGACTGAAAAATCTTTTCATGAGAAATGGTATAATTTCACTGGCTTATTCCGAATCAGAATAGCCCAGGAGTAATAGACTTCTTCTGAAATTACGCAGCGGTTTTTTTACACAAAAAGTGACTCAACTTGAGGAAATATTTTTTTCAGGTACCTCGCGTGGTTGTGGCTGGTATTTGAGAAGCCAGCTTACCACACTTGCATCGAGCTCAAAGAATTGGCTTTAATAGAGACCTCTTTAGGAGGATCACAAGAATCCTACGTCGCGCCGTCGTTGACAAGCACGCCTTGGTTGACGTTCTTCACATCAATGCCTTGCCACGCGATATTCGTGGCCAACTTTTGTCGCTCGTGGAACTTTTATCTGTTAGTTATGTTCCAAGCATCGTTTTTCAAGGATATATATCATGTAAACTTGAAAGAGGTATGTTATTATATGAAATTATATATGCAATGAATTCAATGATACGCTAAATAGACAGGGACTAGATAAAGTTGGACAAATATAGACCTAGATACAAATCTTGTGTGATATATGATGGTATGTTGAAGTGCACTAACTAATGGTCTAAATTCAAGCCGTTCTGTCATGAAGATATATTTTTAAATCCACCGTTTTATGTTTCAGAATGCCTTTTTAGGAGCCCTACCGCATTTATTGATGACCATCGTAGTCCCTCTAGGGGGTATTGTAGCAGATAAAATTAGGAAAAAAGGAATCCTAAACACGACACAAGTGAGGAAGTTATTCAACTGTGGAGGTAATTTGAAAGGGAGATTGTATTTCTTAAATTATTAAATTAAAGAAGAATTAAAAGTTATTAGAAACGGAACGTACTTCAAAATACGGTTCGGCATCAGTAACGTCACATGTATATGTGACAAGATATTTGAGGTTGCGGTCAACTACCAAATGTATTAAACAAAATCATAAATTCTGATTGCATACTACTTTACCATAAAATCTTTTAGGTTTCGGTATGGAAGCAACTTTCTTCATAGTAACGGCCTACGCTCAGGCGTTTACTCAGGGAATAACCGCACTGACTATCGGTGTGGCTTTTAGTGGCTTCGCTATTTCGGGATTCAATGTGAATCATCTGGATATTGCCCCAAGATATGCCAGTATCCTTATGGGATTGTCCAATGGAATTGGAACCTTAGCCGGTTGCGCAGTGCCTTATTTTGTTGAAGCTGTCGTCGATAAGAGGGTGAGTAAAAAATAGTGTCAGAAAAAGGTAGAAAAGAGAATTTTACAAGTCTCGCATGACGTTATTACAAAAGAATCTCAATCAAAATGAAAATCTCGCTGAGACCCAGTGATTGACTAAACGTAATAAGCACAGTTTATACATTTTCATGCCGCTGGCGCTACCAAAATTTCATAAAAATTGGTGCAGCTGGTGCTAAGGGGATCAAAAAACGCAGATGACTTGAAAGTTCTAGCTTATTCTTAGCAAATAAAAAGAGGAATTTTTGCTTTGACCAACCTCATCATCCCTAATATTGAAATAGAATGAAAATCAATCGTTAGAATTACCCACTCTTCCCGTGAATTCGAGCCTTGCATTTCAATCATAGCCTGAAGTGATATATTCTTTATACGACAGGATTATTAGCTGGTTTTCAACCCCCCATGGTTTTTACTAACATATTTTATGCTCTTGTTATCCGCAATGGTTTTGTTACACTATATTCGTATAATGAGCATTTATGACAGATCCTATCGATTGTCGTCGTATGTCTTCATCAGTAAAAGCAGCAATGTAACTAATAGCATCATTGGAACAGTGGAGTTTGCGTGGACGGGGCAGCACGAAACAGTAGACAAAATTCGTCCAAAATACGCTTTATTTTTTGATATTTTTGAATGAAATGTTCACAGTGTGCTGAAAACAAAACCCCACAGGGTGCTATTTAGCCATTTTTTCATTTTTTCAATAGATTCTTCTTAAAAAAATCGCGAAGTTTAACAGAAAAAGTGCGCACTTCAACCCATCATAAAACTTGTGCATAAACAAAATTTCAAAAAGTGCTCTTCTAGCACCCTCGGCAATTATCTTCTGAACATACTGTATGAATTTCATTCAAAAATATTGAAAAATGGAGTGCTAGTTTCGAATCAGCCGAACCCTTGTAAATGGCTTGAAACTCACTGCGTCGGAGCTGCCTTAACTGGTCACGACTCAAATTTAGGTAGTCGAAAGAATTAAAAATGAATATATTACAATTAAGGGTAAGGATTTTATGGGCGCAAACTTAGCGCTTCATCCCATCTTATTCAGATGTCGCATGTATGGGTTGTAAATTAAATAGTGATGTATATGCGGGTTAAGAAATCTTAACACTGGACATTCTTGCTTTAATAAGCAAGACCAGAAACAGTATGAACACGTTAATATGGGGCGGATGTCTATAATTAATAGCACTTTCTTTTGGTGAAATTAGTATTGCACTGGGGAATAATTATACTATACATGTTCTTTTGATGTGTAGTTTGAAGTAGTTTTGCACTCAGTGCATAAATATTGCACGACATGGGGAAACTCATGCTAGTGTTGTCAATTGCACGGCTTTTTGCAGAAAGGAACCAACCCAGAAAAACAATAATTATTGAGCAATTAGGCTTTCAAGTTTTGACAATGATAACAAATTCATTCCAGACCAAACACGATTCTAATCAATGGCATACTAAAGGCTGTAAATATGTTTATGGATCTTTTTTTATAGTAAATGGTATTGATCGTAATAGTTTATTTTCCTAAAATCTAGATTTTTCATATTTAGTGGGTAGGTTCCCTTCTGCAAAAAGCCGTCCAATTGTCCACAGTACCACATTCCATTGACTTGATTTTGCATGCAACCATACTTCAACAGCCCGTTTTTCTTTTCTTTTTCGATTATTGACCACAACAGCATAAAAAAGGATAAAGAAATGTTTCATTGACAGAAAACTGCACGGGACACAAAATGACAGATGTTTAATGTTCTTTTTGAGGCAAATTTCAGATGAACTAGGACAGTATTTCAAATAAGGAAACCGCACTGGTCTTACCAAAAGAAAATGCTATGTGGGTATAGTAAATTCCTCACTGTATGCTTGCCAGTCATGTTTGCATTTGAATTACTCAATATCAAGAATCGAAACTTGGAACTACCCTACCTCTATACGGTATATAAATAACTCCTGATTTCATTTCGGGAACTTCGTAGAACTTATTAAGCCAATTACACAATGAGTTTCGTCACATGCAATTTAATGAAATCTGTATATGGATATGATTTGCAGACGAAAGAAGAATGGAGAATAGTGTTGGTCTTCTCAGCATGTGTGCATTATGCTGGTATCACATTCTATGGGTTGTTCGCTTCTGGAGAACAACAACCGTGGGCTGACCAAAAAGCAGAAATTGAAAAGCAGCAGTGGAGTGAACTAGATCAACCAATGCCACTCAAAGGCTCACAGGTAAATAGCACAATATACAAGGTGTTTAAAAACCATCATCATCACCTATATACGACCTGTAGGTACAGGTTGCTCACTGAGACTCTGCGAGTCCAGTATCTTTATGACGATCACATGTATGTCCGTTCTTGCGGAAGCCATCAGCAATAATCGTTATTTACTCTTATTTTCTTCACCACATATATTTCAACGGTCATATCTACAGTAGAATAAAGAAAATTTTATAACCTCTTATAACCCACAAACAATCACAGTAAGATCGCCATTGCGCTATTCCTCCGTAGATAGCGCTGGCGGTGCCGTGTCAAATCTCAATTATACGTTTTTCATTATACCTATTATTTATCTACTTAACCAACCTTTGTTACAAATACAAAACGAGTTTGATATAAAGAATTAAATTTTAATGTTCGTAACACTTCGTTTAAACTCATTAACATAAGTTCCAAATACTTCTAAACAAGATATACGTATATCTATTACCTAACCCAAGAAGACGAGTTATGGGTTCATTCAAACGTAACAAATTATTTTATAAAAAGGGACAAAGAAAGTATCAGTATGCCGCGTTTTCCTATAATTCACATTGAGTAAAATTTGTTGGGGACAATCAATGTGACCATTGATAATTTTGTGCAAATAATTCAAGCCTGCGAGAAGTCATACTCATGTAGGGAAACGTATCAGTATCACTATACTCTTTCTCAATGAAACCCACTTTATATCCACAGATTGTCAAAAAAAAATCTGCATACGCTCCAATCGGTTGATCAGTAAAGCCATGTACAGATATGTAACAGCACCGCGAACCGAACCGCGCGACAAACCGCGCCGCGCTAGTGTAGACGCTGAAAAGAACGCCAACGCGAACCTAATTAGTGTTACAGCTCGCCATTCGGCCCGATCCAGGCTCTGTCGGTTTTTCAGCGCAACATCAAAGGAATGGCTCGCGACGAAGTTGCACATGTTTGGATACACATACCGGTGCGGCGAGCACCAGTGTGTTATTTTGTAATGTACTTAGAAGTAAAATAATTATTTTTCTTACTCGTATATTTTCCTTTAAAACTTCCGATTCTGATCGATTGCTTTATTGAAATTTGTATTGCAAACTACTGTATAAACCACCGGTATCACATTTTGTATGTTGACTTCGTATTTTTGGTCCAATCAACGTGAGAAGATAGTCAAAGTCTGTCGGAGACATCCTTGTTGTACTGTCCACTCACTTGTTGAAATTTCAATTCCGCTATCAAATTGTTGCAACCGTGTGCTGATCTATTGGTATATAACTGTATTTGCCACCATCGTCTCGGACGTCGTCGTCGCTAATTTTTGGATAATTCGTAGCGAATTGAATATAAATATAGGCAGCTGCTTCTACTTCTATATCCATTTCCTCTAGTATTCGTCTTTCAATGAACAACAATCATCAAAATTGGATGGTCGTTTTGTTGCGCAATGTGGTTGCACGACGTCGTTCGATTTGTGGTAATGCTCGTTGCAATGTTGTTCGTCAAAATGTACGCGCTGCGGTTACTGGCGAGGCTCGGTTCGCGGTGTTGTTATATATCTGTACATGGCTTAAGTTACAACTTGGAGACCAGATGCAGCAGCAATACTCAAATAGCGAACTAACCAAAGAATAAAACAAAATTTCATAAGAAAAGAGTGACAGATCAAAACAATGGCGATTTATGATATCTAACATCTTATATGCACAGTTGTTTGTCTTTTCAAAACCTACGTTAAATAATAATCTTGAGTCAAAAATAACTCCCAAGTCCTTGATCTGGACCGTAGTTTGTAAAGATCTACCATTGATATATAACAATAAGTAATAGAAGAACGAGACCGACTTAGTGTAGTTTTGAAACATTTCGCAGCATTCAAACGTAGAACATTAACTCCTCACCAATGAGAAATATGGTCTAAATTTATTTGCAGCAATTCAGCATCAATAATTCTAAAAATCTTAACATCATCCGCAAACAAAAAAATTTCACTGCGTACTAAGCTCGCAAGATCATTAACAAATATATTAAATATCAACGGACCCAAGTGGGGACCCTGCGAGACTCTAGAAGTTACACGAATACTACGAGATGTACATACACCATATCTTAACCTTTTGAGATCCATCAGATAAGAAGCTACTTATCCGTTTTAAGAGCTGACCTTGCACATCATAGTTGTAAAATTTGGACAATAGTATCTGTAGGAGCTATAAGCAGTAAACTTGGGTTTAAAAAATGGACGGTATTGAGGTTGAATCACAAAAAGTTGTCAGATATGTCATGACTGTTATTTACACGTCTCCATAGTATCTCATTACAAAATTGAAGTTGCGTGCTGCTGATGCCTTTGAATTCATTTTGTAGATATCTATTTCTCAAGCAATCCATCAATTTCGCGATAGATGAGTGAATACACACCGCACGTGTTTTCAACAACATTCTAATTCCTTGGCTTAAAAATGGGCGTCAAAAGATTTGTTTCCAGTAATTTGGAAAATCTCCCGACTTATAACATTTCTTATATTTCAGTTTGTTTCAAACCAATCGGCTCCATTCGCTCGACAGCAAACGCTCAGTGGAGATGCTCCGCCCAACTACGGGGCGGTATACGATGCGGCACCGCCCGCTCAGAATTATGATCCAGCCTATCAGCAAGCACCGCCTCCGCCTATAGGAGGAGCGGGCAATCCGTTTCTAACACATCAAACATCGAACCCGTTCAGGCAGGAGGCTGTGCAACCCAAACAGACTGACGACTACTCTTACAATTATTAACAAATAATTTTGAAGATAGGAGCGACGGTATGTCATTTTCAGTTTCATCAAATCATGAGGCCCGTCGTATATTTCATTCGCTAGAGGCAGGGCCGCGATTGATGTCGCAGTGTTTTTCTGCACTCGATGTCTATTTCTTATTTTTACAAAAATAATACGTTATGTAAAGGAAAAACTATATTTTAGGAACATTCTGTATATGATAAGCTAAGATAATGACAAGAAAGCTTTTTTATCCTCTAACTATGCTTTACGTATAGACATGACTAATGAAAAGTAAGAATATAGCTGATTCTTTCTTTGATACATACAGGGAATAGGTAATTATTTGTATTTATTTTTTTAATTGTTAGCTTTAGAATAATGCCATTTTATGATCAATCAAAATTAGCATCATGATATGGCTGGGGCATCAGCTGCCAATTTGATGAACGTTTGATCAGATATCTGATAAACTATTGATCCTACGTGAAAAATAGGAAAAATTCTGTAAGTAATTGAATTCTCTATAATTTTGTTTCTCTAGAATGTGTTTGTATAGTCAACAGTTTACGGGAAAGGCTATATATAATACTTTCGCTTATAATGGCTAAACAATTAGTCTAATCATATTAGCTTTCCTCTAAATAATTTTAAAGTCTGATTTCATTGATGCAAGTTGTTCAAGGGGGTATTTAAAATATGGACGTATAAAATGGGTACACCAATGTTTGTGGAATAACTTTTTATTAGACAACAAATAATGAGAAAACGTGTTTTTTGTGTTTTTTGGGATTCAACTGAAACTGTTGGCAGGAATGAAAAAACCCTTCGAATAAGATTTTTAGGTATTTATAAGACCTAAAAAGTGAGACCACACATAAAAAAACTTCGACTATGGGTTAAAAAAGTTATGGCCGAAAACCGAGGCAAAATGCAGGTTTCGGCACTTGTTGCTAATGCGACGATAATTTCACGCAGCTACTTGAAATCCCTCAAATCCGAAGGCTTCTTACTTCTACATAACCACAACAAAATTGGAGTCGATTGCCAAGTAGTTTTTGAGAATTTCTAATTGTTTATCCCAAAACACCTGAACGTAACATAACTGAACAGATTCGCTACGATATTCGAAAAACATACGTTATTATACGTATACACATTTTAAAACAAGGCGGATGTGTCTATCACCTTTTGTTGCGAAGAAAAAAATTACATACAAATACGATATTTTTGAATTTGTTTTCGGAATGGCTTATGATTCATATCGGCAAGGTAAACTCGTGTATTTTGCTATAAATGCTCTTTGAACGAATCCTGTATATTGCTCAATAAACTAGTATTGATGGCCGGAAGACAGATGTTTTGCAGCATTATCTATGATCAAGAATACCATCTTAAAGTGAATCCACTTCTTTATTACTGCGAGTATGGAAAATGTGATATTTTCGCATCATGAAAATGCAAGTCACTCACTTCATAGTACAGCCATTAACCTTTTTGCCACTGCGTAGCTTCATCAACCGTTGCAACGATTTTAGTGGAAAACCACCTACTACATCTCCGTTAAAATCCCTAGGCAACGGTTGCTTAAACTACCCAGTGACAAATTTGCCAATAGATAGACTGATGGAATCGAGTGATCTCTCTCGATGATCTCTTGATCATAGATAATGATTATGAAATAGTGTTGTATGCTGTCACGTAGACTACGTACGTATAGTCAACGCCAAACAAAGTGGCGTGCACGTCATCACGATAAAAATTCCCCGACCTAATGCCTAGGTTTCTATCACAAACAATTGCTCTATTGCAGTTACATATTAATGTGATATATAAATTGTAAAATGGTCATTACTCTCTTATTATGGTTAATAGTCATATAAACATTGTTATTAAAATATCACATAAGTTGCTTTCTGATAAATTTAGACGCATTATGCGAAATAAAATGTTTTGCAAACGCTCCAATCACTTATCGACATGTAAACGCACTAAACCGATTTCACAGCGTTGACACATTGTCACCTTGAAACTTATTTAAACTGGGAACTGACATTTGTATTAATTTTGACACTGAATCAATTTGTGGCATTTCAAATCTTTATAAATCCTTTGGCCCCGCATACTGTAAATCAACAACTGTTTGTTTCAAAACAAAATTATTCATTTTACGAGTAGATAAAGGCAATTTTGGTATATAAAGATGCCCAAACAGTTAAATAGTCGGTGTAAGGAACTCGTGGCCTCGTTAATGCACTACTTTGAGCAAGAAAGGGACAACAACGGGCCTTTGTTGCCTTTAAATGCTGTTCAAGAGGTAGGTTACTAATAATTATATGTAATGTATATTAATAATAGTGAAATTTTATTTCATTT